GCATCCATCACTCATCCCACCGCCCCCAAAGCGCAGCCCAGTGGGGCTCTGTAGCCGGGAAGCCGATAGCAGGCCGCGCCCTTGGATTCCCAGCCTCTCCAGCAGCCCCAGGGCCTGGCTCTGCGTGCTGGATCTGGCCCATGGGCTGTACGTGTGACAGCCCTGCCCTAGCCCAAGAAACGGGAGCTCTGTGCACTCGCAGCTGTGACCCAGAGCGTCACTTGTGCCAGCCGGATGCTGAACGCCTGTGCTAGTTGGGGCCGTGCCCTGCCTGGGCGTGACACGTTGCTAAGTGCTGGACACGGCTGTTGCCTCTGTCCGCTCCTGTCTGGGTGGAAGCGTAGCTAGAGCAGAGCATAACGAACCCTGTTTCAGGGTTAGGCGTACAAGGGTTTAGCCAACTTGTACCACTCCAGGTGCCGGCAGATGGAACAGCTGCAGGCTGACAGCTTTTGGAGCAGTTAAAACTTCCCCCCATCTACAGCCAGGGCTGAATTCAAAGGGCCACTGCCACTGTAGCTGGGGAGCTGGAGAGGGATCCTTTCCAGCTCTCTGCCACAGCAAGAGATTTCCCGATCAAAACTGGACCAGAACTGCTTGCAGAGCCTGGAGCAGGTGGGAAAAGACCCTGGAGAGACACTGCGGGGTGGGCTGGACCTGGGGCTGTCTGCTGTTCCACGGCTGTGTGACGTGCACCAGTGTCACAGTGTGGCAGAGGTCTCAGATCTGTAATGCAGAAAGCCTCAGGAGAGGCAGCCCAGGCCTCAGAGAGCTGCCTTTCCACAGCTTATCTTCCTTCCCTGCAGCAACAGGGCAAGATGAGCAAAAGCAGCTGATGAGGAAGTGGCAAGAGTCATTCCCTTAGGTCAGGGGTGGGCAAAAGGCAGCCAGCCAGCCCATTCTTTCTGGCCTGCGGGGCCCCTAAAAAATTTAGAAAATTAATATTTACCTGCCCCTGGCTGCCTGTCATGTGGCTCTTGATGGCTTGCCAAAACTCAGTAAGTGGCCCTCCGCCCAAAATAATTGCCCACCCCTGCCTTGGGTAATCTCTGGGGTAATCACAGCCTTGTCCTTATCATCGTCCTGTGTACAAGCGCCTGCTCATCTGGGGCAGTGGCTGGCTAAGGACAGCGACTTGCTGACAGGGGCGGTTCTGGTCTGCTCTAGGAGCATCGACACACTGGAAAGCACAGTAACACGTAGGAAACCAGAGGTAACTAACTGTGATAGGCGGCAGGTGCAGAGGCACACAGGGCCCAGCCCGCCTGCAGAGGAAACCATACGAAGCTTGGGGCAGGGGGTGGGAGTCAGGCCCAGGAAACAGGCAGGAACTTTACTTCAGGGGAAGATCAGTCATGTGTCCTCTCCTCATCAAGTTCATTCTGGGGAAGCTCTTTTCTCAATGCAAATACACAGCACCTGCCCTGGACAGCTTGGGAGAGGCCTGGTCAGGTGTCCATAATACAGAGTGAGCTGGCTACAGAGTAAAATCCTGGGGAGACTGACCCATGTGTGGATGTCGAAAGCGGGGAGAGCAGATAAGGTGGTGCATCATCACATACAACACGCCACCTATTTTTCTCCAGGCAAATAGAAACTAGAAGCTTTACTAATAAGCAAGAGGCCCAGCACTATATTATTCAGTTTAAGATTAAGCAAAAACTCATCTAAATCTACTGGGACAGCCACTAATTGCTAAATTATACAGTAATTAAAAAAAAAAATCACAACAAGCCAGGCAAAAAAAAAAAAATATTTAAGAAGTCAAAAGAGATTATGCTGTTAGTTCTGTAGTCATTATAGTTACATGTATGTCTCTTATTCAAAATAGTGCAACAATATCTAGCCTTCTTGAGTTTCTTGATGGCACCTTCAATACTTCACTGTCAGTCATTAATACTGCTACCCCCGAGTTAAGGATTTTAGCTAGAGTTAAAAACAACCTGGAGGGATGTGGAATACAGGAGAGGCATTCCCAGCAATGGAGAACAGACAGCAACACTGCAGAAGAAAGGATCATTTGAGTAGGGGAACATGAAGACCATTAATGAGGAGTGAGGGTCTTTAACACCTAAGGAGTGAAGAGAGAGCAGCAAGAACCAGGCAGATGATAATAAGCCATAAAGTCAATTGCCTCCCTTTGTGCTGCCTGAATAGAAATGCCACTGCCTCTCCCATACAGCTGGTTTTACAGTTTGGATAGAGCAGGAATCAAAGTAGGGGTGCAGCTGCACTACTGCACCCCTCTAGATCCACCTCTTGTCTGCCCCTGCAGTAGCTGTGTTGTGGGTTATAGGTCCCAAGCGAAATGGCCCACCAAGTCAGCATGGTTATGAGCCTTTCTATGGCAAACTAAGTGCCTGGGGGGTGGGGGGCGGGGAATGCAGCCACAGCTGGCTGCCTTCACCATCCTGCCTATGTGCCCAGATCCCCATTACAGCTGGTTGAGCTGGAAGCAGCTTTCAGCTCATGTCCAGAGCAGGGACTTAACGTGTCCAGAGCATCTGGCCCCAATGCAGCAAACAGAGCCAGAGCTGAGGTCTAAAACATCCAGAGAAAGAGAGACGTGCAAGGCCATACATGATGCTACATGACACACCTGGCTCCCTGTAGGGTGGGAGGGATGAAAGGGGACAGGCACAAGACAAGCGTCCGGGCCCTATAAAGGACTAGTGAGCACCAGACAGCGGCTTGATTTGGCTCAGCGGAGAAGAGGGAGCGAGGCCAGGAGACAAGTGATGCAATCGAAACAACCAGATGCAGAAACAATCTCCACAGCAGTGTCGGGAAGGAGAGGAGATGGGGTAAGACTGGCATTTCTGGAGGGCACGAGGGGGTAGGTGCTGACATGCACAGTGATGAAGGCTGGCATGACCCTTTGGGCTGCAGGCGCGGAGAGGGAAAGCCAGAGATCTGGGCACGTCCATGTGACCTTGCGCCAGGCCAGGGAGCAGGGCCGGGAAACATACCCCACCCACTCTTTCTCCTGTGGGCCAAAGGCCGGAGAATGTCAGACAACGGCTGAGAGGCACGGACCATGCCCAGGACAAAGAAGCAGCATCAGCATCTCACCGTGGCATGGATCAGGCATGGTGTGCTTTCAGGACATGGGCAGGGTAGCACAGACAGGCGCTTAGAGGTGCAGCGTGGAGGGTCGGTAAGATTTGGGCACAGCCTGGATGCTGGGATGCAGAGAAAGGGCTGAGTTTTATGGGCCAAGCACAGGCTATGGCCAGAGTGACAGGGTGGGGAGAAGAGAGCATAAGTGGGGCTTCCTTAGCCAGCCGGCGGGAGAAGGGACCTGGCTGAGGATACCCTGATGACCGAGGACCTCATGAAAACCCATGGGCTGCATCCAGGTAGATCACGGGGATGCCCGGTTGAACCAGAAAAAGCCTCTTTGCACCGCCATCGACAGGCGCTGGGTCCGTCCTCACACTGGGGCCCTTTCTAATACCCCTGGCACATGACAGAGGCGAGATGAAGAGGTGCCAGTTGCAGCAGTGACCCAGGTAGCCCACGGTCCGGGAAAGCGAGCCCTTTACTGCAGAGGATACAGGTGCAACTGAAGGTGCACAGGGGGAGGGCAGAGGGGGGCAACAGAGTAATCGGAGCTGCAATCCAGGCAGGATCCCTGCTGCATCACCAGGCTGGCACTTTCCCAGAGCACCACGGCACAGGGGGATGGGAGGAGGGAGTGATGGAGTTATGGAGAGGGGGCTGCATGCAGATGATGGGGTACAGGAGTGGCTTTGAGCTAGGCTGCATGGCACAGCTGGTGGAGAAGAGGCAGCCTCAGCCCCTCCCAGCTCCATCTTCAACCCCCCCCAGGCAGCTCTGGCGAAGTGACTCAGCCTTGTGCCTCGGCTCCTGTTCTCTACCATGGTGTGTGTTTCGCATCCTGGGTCCCAAGAAGAAAGTGCAGCCTCTGCTTCTTGGATGGGGACAGCGGAGCACGATACACCTCTCCAGCACTGGAGCGGAGGGAGCCAGGGCTATGCCAGGCAGGGCTGACACCTGAGCAGCTCGGCCCCGCTTTGCACTGAAGCAGGCTTGACTTACCCATGGGGCAGGTGGGATCTTGGTCCGGCATCCCACCTGAGCAGCTCCAGTGCTAAGGGGGGCCGAGGTGCTCAGGTGGGACATCAGACCCATCTGCCGGGCGGGGAAGTCAAACCCACACGTTCCTCCATTGGCAGGGGGTATTTTGCCACCTCCCTAAAAAAATAACAGATTTTTCCAAAGAGCAAGGAAAAACCTCATCTTCAGCTGACTCACCCTCTTTGTCCTGTCTAGGCTGTGAAACAGCAGAGTGACAGCTAACAGACAGTACAACTGCTCAAAGAAAAGTTAGCTTTGAAGATCAACACCTGCTAAAAAGGAGACAGGGAGGTTAACATCCGTGGGGTGGAGAACAAGGAGCTATTAAGACAGGTGACTCCCTCAGCTGCCAGAAGATTAATAGAACAGCTGCTGCAGTGTGACGGAGGAAGCAAAACAGAGGCAGAAAATCTGTTTCCTGGTTTAATACACGCAGCCTAATTTTTTGGGGGGGGGCGGGGAGTGCATGTTGTTTGCAAGAAAATATGATAGAAACATAAGAAATTCCGGTATCTTTTTGACACTGGCCACATCCCACTCAGCTTGGCCAAAGAGCACCAGCAAAACCCAAAAGAAAAGGATGTCAAGCGCGAAGAGACCATTAACTCTTTCACTGCCTGAGATGAAGGCAGAGGCATGTTTTATAAGCCCCATGTGCGACTGAATTCCTGCTGGGCGCAGCTAACAGCCAGCCAGCTTATCACAGATAGCAACAGGGTAACGAACGCTTCAGGAACATATCACGAACCTCAATGTAGCCAGAGGGAAACTGAGGCAGGACTCACAGACAATGAGGGTGGAAGGGACCTCAGGAGGTTGCATCCAGTCCAACTCCCTGCTCAAAGCACGACCAGCCCCAACTACATCGTCCCAGCCAAGGAAGAGATTGAGACACTTACCCCAGGGAGCAGGGACATCCAAGGCAGGGTTAGAACCGGGGAGTGCCATCAGGCCATGCTCCCTGCCTTGCCATCTGGGTAAGCACAGAGTATCCTCAATGATCAACTTACAGCAGCCTGGAGCGTGCGCTTTTCCTGTGGGGGATGCAATGCTGCAGCAGCAGCTCTCACGGCTTCGACTGATTCACGGAGCAGGTCACCCTGACGAAGCAAAGGGTACAACCCCCCTGCCTACTACTGCGAGGTGGCTCTAAAATAAAGCACGACCACAGGCGCCGTGGCTGAATTGTGAGCCCAACAACACACTTGTGAGACACGCCCCCCTCCACGCAGACATGCACACACTTGATCCCAATCCTGGAGCTGACGCAACTTTCCCTGCGGCCAAGCGCAATCACCCATCCTCAATGCAAAGGCAGCCAGAGGGCCAGGCAGACTGTGCAGCTAATGATTCATCAATCTAAGGAGCATTTCCAGGGTGGCTTTTCAATGCAGAGATTTTTTTTTCCTCTATGCACTGCAAGATGTTTTCCTCTACTCACCACTGCAGCAGCTGGAGCTCTGAGCCAGCAGCTTGCTGGG